CTCCCCGCGGCCGGGACACGGCTCCGAGAGCGGCACCTGCGGCCTCCCGACCTCACCGAGCACCAGTGCCTGGGGGCTCTGAGCCGGACGCACCCGGGGCCCTTTCCCTCCCCTTTTCAATGCGCTGTGAACCTCGTCTCTCCTTCCTGCTCGCCCTGGGCAGGAGGGAACGCTTTCCTGCATCAGGATTGCCCTGATGGATGGGGGATGCGCTGGGAGATCCCTGCCTTCCCCAGGGAGAAGAGGAGCTCGCTGCTCGTTGTCCGGAGACCTGAGCGAGCGATTTTTCCGTCTGTGACTCAGGGGGACACGGGGCATAGTGTCCGAGCCCCTGGCGAGCACTGCAGCCCCTGTCCTGCCCCACGAAAGGGACGGGGGGACGGGCAGCCAGAACGGGGAGCAGCGAGCCCGGTCCGCTCACACTCTGATTGCTAAACCGCAGGGACTGGAAAGCAAGGAAACATTTTTGGGGACAGCTATCCAGGGCAGAGGTGGCTGGAGGTCCCCAGGAAGGGATAACACAGCAGAAGGTGCAGTGGTCACTGTTCCAAATTCAGGAAATCCTGGGTGCTGCCTGCACTTGCCTCTGGATTTTTCCCCTTCTCACACCCACAGGACTGATGCTCCTTTTGCCTAAAATCCAATAACACGAGTGTGAAAAAGAAAGGATTTAAAGGCTTTATATTCCCGAGTGGGGTCCATTGGTGGAAAGAGCAGCATTGGGATCCTCCTCACTCCATTCCCTGAAGACAACGGGGAGAACAGATTGAGCAGGTGACAGAGAAAACCTCTCCTCTCGCTGAGATCCCCAGAAAACTTCCTGCTCTTCACAGATCCCCGAGACCAGGGACTTCAGGTGGAGGATTCAGGATTCAGGATGCTTCACCATCAAGCGACCTGCCTTGGTTTGCACTAGATTTGGCTTGCAGGTGGATTTAAGATATCCACCTCAAGGCAGGTCCGCAGCAGCACGTTAACAACTGCATTGCTGCTCTTCAACCAAACACTCAAAATAAGCGAGGAAAGACCAGAACCTCTTTGCTGGGTCAAAAGTGCACCTCTGGCTGCCGGCGCCGTGTGACCGCCCGGGCAGCGATTTCACACGGGTTAATTCAACCCCTGGGCAGTCCCCCCCGAGATGCCATCCCCTGACACCATCCCTGCACCGGGGCTGTCCCAGCAGAGCCCCCGCAGCAGCCTCTGTCCCCCGGCCACCTCTGCCTGCCCCACTGAGCCTCCCCCCATGCCCGCCGGGCAGGCAGGGCCGGACACCCCGCAGGAAAGCCGTACCTCCCCGGAGCCCTCCGGAGCTGGCCAGGAGCAGCCAGGAGCTGCAAGCCCTCGGGGAGCTGCTCCAACACCGGCGGGGCTGCCCTCGCCCCCCCGGCCCGGAGCCGCCCTGAGCCGGCATTAGCTGCCAGAGCCGCCTTTGTCCGGCCGCGAACAACGGGACATTGTGGGCAGCTGCCCGGGCTGCCAGGGCAGGACGGACTCTGCCAGCCCTGCTCGAGCTTGTTCTGCCGAGCTCGTGACTCAATCCGCCCTGAACCCTGTTTTCCCTACAAACTGAAAAAGCAGATTTTCTGATGGGTGAGATGATGGCTGAAGCCAGCGCTGGGCTGCGAGGAGAGGAAAACAAAGCGGGTGTTTTTCCTCCCGCTCTCTGCGGCTCCGGAGGTCAGTTTTGGGCTGATCCTGCAGAAATAGGTCATTCAGCTCTCCCCTGTCTGAGGCTGGCATTGCCCGTGGCTCTGAGCCCCTCTCAATGTTCCTTCTCCATCAGCCCAACCACAACAAGCTTGGACCTGCATCTCCAGGCAGGGAAGTCTGGAGACATCAAATTGACATCAAATTCGACATCAAAATTGACACCAAATTTCAATGAATTTACCTTCTAAACAGCAACCTGCTTTTAGCTCTGGCATTTTTAGGGTGTTGATGGCAGAAAGTTTGGGACTAAATGCTTTTTAAGGCCCCTTCCAACCCAAACCAATGCATGATTCCATGTTTACTACTTTGTTTTTTGAGACTTCCAAATCCACCTAGAACAATTGATTAAAGCTCAGGTAATGTAATTCTGATTTTCTTGTGAGCAAAGCTTTCTTGTGAGCAAAACTAAAACAGTTTCCTGTTTTAATGAAAATGTTTTCATCAGTTAGATATTTTCAGTTTTCTAGACTAATCTTCTCAAACACAGCAGTTTCTGTACTCTCCTAGGTGAAATATTCTATGCAAACATGTTATTCTCCACAAAGCAAATTCTGGTAGAGAGGCAGTAGATTTTGGAGTTTGAGCAACAGTATTTTTATTAAATGTGCATATAGGATATTCTCCTATGGGAAAAAGAACATAATTTCTGATAAGTACTGAAAAAAAAAGGCACTGCAGAAGCAGAACCCATCCCTCCCTGTGGGCAGCAGCCCTCACTGCTGCTGGGTTCCAGACATGTTTCTGTTCAGCCTCCCAAAAAACCTGAAGTATCCATATCTTGGAGATTTTTTTTAATTGTTATTTTTAAAACACTGCATTTTCTGCCTCTTTATTAAAGCCTGGATCCTGGTACAGCTCTTCCAGACCTTTTAAAATGACCCTTTCCAACCCATTTGACTAGAGGTCATAACTCATGTAGTTGTAATTACAGAGCCAAGGTGAGGGCAGAGGGAAAGTCCGAAGTGGCTGCCTGCAAAAAAGGCTCTTTGACTCAAGGTGAAGACCAGCTTTGCCCTACAACCTATCCAGTATTCAAAAAAGGATGTCTCTGAGTGCAAAGCCAGATATGGTAAAATGTGCCTTTTACCCCTCAAAAACTCACATGTCTTCAGCCAGGAAAACACACTGGGAATTTCAATTTCTCTGGCTGTACCTGTGCTGCTGCCAGTAGTGTGGGAGTCCAACATCAGCAGGATTAAACACATCCATCAGGAAGAACACTACAAAACAGGGGGATTTGCAAATCCTGCTCTACCAAAACATGAAGAATTGCCAGCAAAAGAGATTCTGTCCCTAGCTCAAAGTTAGCAGTGCAAATAGTAAAGCTATGGAGACTGGAACCCTGAGAGCTTTTTGTGGTTCAAGAGGATGAATTGAGGGGGACAGGAAATGAAGGATCAGAATTTAAATTATTTTTACTTATCTGCTCTTAAAGCAAGGCTGAGCCCAGCCATCACACCACATCTGAACAGAAGGGGTCTGAAGTATCCCAGGAATATCTCTCGGAATGTACGTAGGATGATGAGTCACATTTCCGTGGGTAGGCAGAGAGAAGGAGCAGTGGAAGGGTGGCCATGAGCCCAGTGGGGGATGCTCACCTCTCACAGGCTTTGGCTGCTCTTCTGTGAATCTTTCTGGTCTGTCCCACTCTTAAAAAGAGTAACCTCAACTAAATTAACTCTTTGAAAGCTGGGTCAAAGCTTCTTTTCCATTGGTGTGAAGTTCTGCCATCTCTCAAACCCTGAGGAGTACTTACAAAAATAGATTAAATCCAGCAGCTTTGGCAAATCGAGTTTAGCAATGTGCATATCTGTCATCTTGCAGATTGCAGGAACAGGGGAGGGCATGTCCAAACCCAGGCACTGCAGATTTATTTTACCAAAAGCCACTAGATGGGGATGCAAGGACACTTTTCTGCTCTCACTTATGCTTTGGTCCCGTCACGTTGAGCTGGAGCTGGCCTTTCCCACTCACAGGGGCTGCTGTTGTCTTTCCTTTTTCTCTTTAGGAGCTGACAGAGGTCATTTGGAAACTTATCACTCGCTGAGATCTCATCCTGTAGGGATCAGGCCTCAGGCAGCAGTTACAGTGCAATTGCTTCTTGCTGAATATTATTCTCTGCACCAAGACTTAGGAAGAGTAAAAGGTTTGCCTTTTAGTTTGTGGATTAGTCTTCTTTTATAGGCTGTGGAAAGAAAAGGTACTTGAGATTGAACACAGAGAGGAAAAATGGTATTCAGGCAGCTGGTAATCTCTGAAAATGTCCATACTTTAGAGCAGTTACTGCAGGAAAAAGCCAGGAGATTTCCTCAGGCTCACTAGCCAAATCTCTGAGTAATTTTTTTGTGTTTGTTTCTCCTCTTTTGAAATCCACAATTGTCCTAAGAATCAGCAAGATAAAGTCTGGAGAATTGGTTTGGCAGAGGTGTAGGCAGGATGAGCCCTGCTCTCCAGGGCAGCAGCACTCCACAGAGCTGCCCCAGGAGCACATTTAGGCTGCAGGAGTCCGTGCAATGCATCAGAAATGCTGTGGGAGTGAGGAGGGCTCCAGTCCTACAGAAATTGTCAGCTCTGACCTCCAGTGACCTTGGCCTTCTGCACTGAGCACCCACTCTTATTTTATCTCAACTGTCAGGATATTTGGTGCTTATATTAATTCCCAGCTCCTGAAGTCAGGTGAAATGTGAAAAAATGCAACTCTTCTAGCAAATATTTAACAGCAAAATTCTGGCTTTGAGAGTATGCTGAGGTACCCAAAATGCACTCTAGACTTCAAAACACAGAAAATGCTTTGAAAGAAAGCCAAAAATTGATAAATTTCAGGGCAATTTCATGAATGCTTTCAGTGGTTGGCAGGGAGGGAGAGTGGGTGTCGGGGTGTTTCTGGGAGTCTCAGAAAAAAGGCTCTGGTAAATACCTCGAAAGCAAATTAATCTTGTGTCATAACAATCAATTCAGAAAAGCCGGAGAACAATTCAAATATTATCAAAATAAATGTCTTTCCTACTCCATACACTCCAGATATGGAGCTAATGCTGCCAGTCCATGGCACTCACTGTTTTAGGGGCTGGGAGAACAGAAGCACTGGGGGCTCTTTGGTGTTTTCAATTGTATCTCCACTAATTGCTAAAACCAGATTGCTCCACTTCATTAGGCATGAAGAGAAGGGCAGCTGCTTTTCCTGGGCCCGAGGGTGAGGAGGTCACAGGGTGAGGGCTGGAGGAGCTCTGGGCTGGCAGCAGGGCCGTGTCCCTGCACTTTTGGGGACACCGCAGGCCTGGATCCCCTCGGGTGCTGCCACCACCCCTGGCAGGGCATTCTCAGCAGGCACTGCAGATTCCAGCTATTCCTCTTCCCTGCTTTTTCCTCGCTGCTTAGTAGTCTCCTCATGGTGACAACAAAATGTCTGTTTTCCAGGAACCCATTTGAGCTTTATGGATTGGCCATGGTAGGCACTTCAGCCCTCCATAAAGCACGCTGACACGCTCTCTGGTGTATTCCCAGCTCGACTGAAAAATTGATCAAAGCTGATAGAGTTACAGGGCCCCGTGTCCCTCTACAATCTGCTGTTGTGCTGCTCAGCCCTTACAGAGGCAGCAAAGCCAAACCCTGTGAGAACCCTGTCTGAGGAACGCACCTCCATCCTGCCCTTGGCTTTGCAGCCCGGCCTGAGGAGGATGATGTGCAGCATGTGTCCCCCCTGCTCCCCCAGTTCTCCTGGAGCCAAACTCCCCTGGCATTGTGGGCATCCCCAAAATGCAGCAGGGAGTGCCAGCAGGGTCCTGTCCTGCCAGGAGGCACTGACACCATGTGCAGGGTGCCCAGGGCTGGCACATTCTCACCCCAGTGAGGGTGTGGCCTCATGTGCCTCCTGTGTCCCCTGTCCCATGGGCTCAGGCAGCAGCTCTTAGCAGAGACTGCTTAAATGACAGGAAATTCTACCAAAGTCATTAATGTGCACGTAGGTCTGCTGGAGGAGATGGGATATCACACAGCAGAGTAGCTGCCAGTTTCTACCACAAGACCTCATCAAAGCCTTTTTCCTTTTCCTCCCTGTCTCCCAAAAGCTCTTGCTTTTGCTCAGAGAATATCAGTCCCTTGAAGCAAAGACTGTGCCTCATTTCATCCCAAAATCTCCTGGATTCTGGGAGGGCTGCCAGGTGTTGGGTGAGCTGTCTCTTCCCTCTAGTGCCCCAGTCCTACAGAAACACTTCCTCCTTCTGTTTATTAATTACAGTTTGATTTCTGCTGGAAGGCCAAATGAACACAGAATAGCAAATCCAATTTCTGAGCCAAAGAACTTCCAAATGAGGGGTTGGGTGGGACACAAAGGATGTTAAGATACCTGACAGGGGATCAGAAGTGCATGAGATAACAGAGGAGCCAAGGCACCTGTCTCCAGTCTGAAATGTGCAAGCAGAGCCAAAATGCTCCTCACATGCTGTAAAGGGCCCCCACTCCCATACACTGCCAAATTCAGTTTGATGAGCTGATCAATAAAGGTGCACAGACAAATGCCAGGACAGGACACACAGGGAAGGAGAGCTGCCATGGGAGGGCACAAGGCTCTGTGCTGCCTTCCAGTCACACAGCAACAGCAAAAAGGGAGATACTTGGCTTTTCAGCTCTTTGGAGTCATAGTATCACTGAATTGTTGTGGT